TCATCAAAGTTTGTGTTTCGGAGTTATAGAGTTGAGAGAGGGTTATAACCACAAATAAGTAGCCTCCTTGTCTGTAGTAGAATTAAATTAAAAAAAAAATAGAAAAAAATTCTTTTTTTTTTTTAAATATTGCTTTTTTTTTTTTATTACACCATTTAATGTAAAATTTATCATTCTACAAGAAAATATATTTTATGAAAATAAGTTGTGCATAAAATACTTACGCTATTAGTTTAATTTAACTTTTTTTGTAAGTTTAATTTTTTACTATTAAAATTTCTTGTTAGCGTAAAATTTTTTAATAGTGTTAAAAATACATAAAGTGTTATATTTTAATTTTAAAATATAAAATAAATATCTAATTAAAGTCTGAATATTGTGCACTATAAACAACCAAACAAAGCAACAATGACTTTCGTCGAGTGTGTTGTAGAGTTTGATTTACGTTTTTGTAGCTAATATTATATCTAAAGATTTTGTTTGTGATTTTTTATCAGACTATTGATGTCTTGTAAACAGAATATAAGAAAAAAGAGAAAAATCCAAGTTTAAAGAAAATTGGTTTACCTAGTCAATCAAATTGACAGAAACTTTAAAATCTTTTTCACTTCGTTATCGAAAAATGTCATGAACTTTAAATGAAGCTTCTAAAGAAGATGATGATAATTATTTTTTGTTCGTAAAATTTAAAATTCTTAAAGATCTTATAAGTAGTTTAACATGCTCTGTGTGTAATGCACAAAAACTGAATTTATCCAATAAAACTTGATCTAAGAATGGGTTTTGCAAACAAACTTTTAATAAAATGTTATTCTTGTCATTGGAATAATGAACTTTATACATGAAAACAAAGGTCATTTAGGCATTATAACATGTCGTGTTTCAGTAGACAGTTCTTGGCAGAAGAGGGAACTTTCATCCCTTAATGGTTATATTGCAGCTATAAACCATGGCAAGTGTATTGATGTTTATGTAATGACAAAGTATTGCAGGCAGTGTCTGATTTGGAATAGAAAAAAAGGCTCTGTAGAGCACCAAAACTGGTTTTCCAAGCATAACTTTCCGATAAATTATGAAAGTTTATCTAATGCAATGGAGTCGACTGGTGCAGTGGAGATTTTTCAGCGATCCGTTTTAAAAAACAACCTTATTTCTAATGATTACCTTGGTGATTGAGAAACATCATCATACAAAGAAGTTTATGCTGCTAATGTTTATAAAGATTATGGTATTAACCCAATTTAATGAGAATGTGTTGGGCACGTACAAAAGAAATGTGGGAAAAGACTTCGAAATCTTGATGATGGGTTATTATCAAAATGTTTTCATGGACAAACCCAAAATACCAATGAAGGTTTCAACAATATTGTATGGTCACGCTGTCAAAAGAACATTTTTGTAACAAAAGATGTAAAAAAACTTTCAAAGCCCTAACACCAGTTTTTTTTTTTGTTTTTTTTTCCAAATATTGTGTCCAGTTTAAAATATTTAAAATATTTTTTTATTCTTATAGTAGAAATAAATGATAATAATATGATAATATGATCGGAATCTATATACAAAAAATTGAGTTTCAAAGAAAATTGATTGAGGAACATTTTTTGAATTCTTTCAGATTTTACTCTTTTTGACAGTTATTTTGATAAAAATTTTCCTAAAAATAATTTACTGATTGTTTTTTTATTAAATTTTTAGTTTTATATTCCATTGAAAGCAAACTTAAATGCATATGAACCACTAAAACTGCTCCTATTAAAAAAAAAAAAAAATATATATATATATATATATATATATATATATATATATATATATATATATATATATATATATATATATATATATATATATATATATATATATATAATATATATATATTATATATATATATATATATATATATATATGAGCCACCTTAATAATTGTTATAAATTTTTTTATCTTCCAGACTAAACCATACGCCCTTCATATTGGTGATACAAAAAGATCTCCAAAAACAGAGCAGTTTTCCTTTTTGCCAGACTTTTTAAGATACTTGTCATGTTTTTCTATAACCATATAAATAAAAGGTAGACCAATTCTTGATGCTTTACATTTTTCAGGCGAAACTAAATTCTTTGTCTATACTCTTGAATATTTGTCAGCAACTTTTTTGCTACATTTATTTAACATATAAGAAAAATCTAAAATGAGTAATATCTAAATACTAATACTCCAGTGAATATTATTAGTGTCGTTTCACTTTCGTTTTTAAGGTAGTTTCTAGACTTTTCTATACGCGGTTTTATATTCCAAGCGGTCTTTCGAGCAAGGTCTTCAAGCAAGTTAGAGCTGGTATACTTTTAATTTCAAGGAGAATAGATGTTGTTCATTGTTTAATAACTAAAATAAAAATTTCAATAATCGTTTGTTTGTTGTTGGTTGTTTTTCATTTTTCTAATTTTTATAGCCTGTTTTCATTTTTTAGAAAAAGTTAGAACTAAAATGACTTGTAAAATTGTTTTTTTAGTACAATGTTTCTTTTTTAGTAAACTCATGGCCTACTATGTTGACGGCCGTATATCTTACATTTTTTAGGGGGAAGTTAAGAGGCCAATTTTTACTGAAAAAATGGCTGCGCAGAATATTATATTTTTAAAAAGTTTTATTCTTTTCTTTTCATTCTTAATTTTTAATTTATAGCTTTTTAATGTAAAAGTGGCAGTTGTTTTTAATATACTCTTTAAGATAAAATAGATATCAAAGATTTAAAGACATTTGTGTAATATTTGTTGGAGAATTGTCACAGAAATTATTCAAATCAATATACATTTATATATATGTATACACAGCAAAATCCAAGATTCTAGGTTAAGAACTTTTGTTCTTATTTTAAGAACTTTTGTTCTTATTTTAAGAACTTGATTCTTATTTTAATAACCTAATTTTTATTTTAAAAACCTGATTCTTATTTTAAGAACTTGATTTTTATTTTAGATTTCCATTCTTATTTATAGATATTTCAATAAAAAACATTGTTCCTAATTTTATAATATTATAACATTTTGTTTGTATATAATATGTATTTATATTTATATATGCATACATATTATATACAAACAATGTTTGTATATATATATATATATATATATATATATATATATATATATATATATATATATATATATATATATATATATATATATATATATATATATATATATATATATATATATATATATATATATATATATATATATATATATCAATAGAAACCTGCAGGTACACTAATAAAGAATTCAGAAAAATTAAAGCCACTGATATTCACTTTCTGAAAATCCTCCCCACCCTCTGATAGATCTTGTGTTCATGATTTTATGTAATCAAATAGTCTAATCCATTTGATCCATAAGACTAAAATACAAACCAGAAAAAATCGTATACTTCAAGAATTTTATAGAATTTGCCTTTAATAAATGCAATATTCATGTCTGCAAATCTGCATAAATCTAAAGGCATAAAAGTAAATCTTATGTATGGGCGACGTAGTAGCAAAATGATATAAATCTAAGGTCCAAGCATGCATAAGAGTGATTTAGTTTGAAGTGCTCCAAAGTTGTGCACTTCTTTATAATATATGAACTTAATAAAAATGAATAAACTGCCGAGCGACGGATCAAGGAGTTTTTGTGTGGCTAAAGACTCTGCCCCTTCCGCCTACCCCCCCCTCTCCCCCTAAACTGTCATTAGATCCTAAAATATTAAAAACATACAGTCAATTACGTTTATGAGCGTTATGTTTATGAGCACATGTTCAAAAAGTTCATAAGAAATTTTAGAGATTTTAAAATGGCTGCGGATCTTACCTACATGTTCAAAAAGTTCAAAAGGATCTCAGCTACATGTTTAAAAAGTTCATTAGAAATTTCAGAGATTTTAAAATGGCTGCGGATCTTACATTTTTTATATAGCAACTTTTTTTTAATTTTGGTTTTGTAAAAATTAATGCTGCAATTTATTTATTAAACTCGTGATGAATGGAGTATTTGGACCAAATGTTGTTTGTTGTATTCAAACCTAGCACCCAATTTTTTCATAAATGGAATAACATCAATAAAACTGTATTAAACCAGCAATACATTTTTCTAAAGTCAAATAGATTGTATTAGTAAAAAGCGAATCTCTTTTAATATTAGGTACGCGGAAATCACGATTTACGGAACCGATTATGCTAAAATTTTGTAACTCGTTTTTTTAACTTTTTTTTAGGTAGCATTAGGCAAACGTATTTTTGTTAAGTTTTTTTTTAGAAATAGATAATTTTTTTTTAGAAATAGATAATTTTTTGAAAGAAAAAAGATTAATCTTGATTTTTATATAACTTTTATGTATGGTTACTGAATTTTTTTATGGATTATTTTGGTTCTGAAAAATAGGTTGATGTTCTCACATAAAAATGTAGTCGAAGGAATATTGATCCCGGTCTATTTATTATTCAAACAAATTTCTGCATGCAATTTCTATGCACATATCAAATTTTAACGAAAAAATAAATGGAGCAGATAGGTTTCAAAGGGTTCTACCACGCATACTGCATTTTTTCGGTAGTCTTAGTAAAACGTACTTTTGTGGTATTTCTATTTAGAAAAATATGAAAATAAAGATTTGTTTTTGTAAGAAGAAAGGTTAAGCGTGATTTCTATATAACTTATATGTAGGTTACTAAACTTCTTTATGGGTTATTTTGCTTCAAATTTTGCATAAAAGTTTAGACGATGTTCTCACTTGAATTTGTAGTAGAAGAAATGTTGATCCCGCTCTATTTATTTTTTAAACAATTTTCTACATGCATTTTTTATGTAAATGCCAAATTTAAACGAAAAAAAAAGGGAGCAAGCAGTTTACTAAGTGTAACACTTTTGGTACCTAATTTCTGTTTTTCTGATTTTTTTTTCGGTTATAGCAAATTACGGGGGCAGCTAAGGGGGGCATTCGCAAAACAATTGTTATTGCGAAAATAACTATTCGGATTTTCATTATTAAATAACAAAATGGAAAAAATTAATGAAGTTTTGTTGGACTCTGTAACAACTAGTAAGTTATTTTTTTTAATAAAAGTATATAAGTGATAATTATTTTTAAAACTAAATTATGTTGATAAATTTAAAAATCTTTTTTAAATTCTTACCGCTTAAGACTAAAACTTCAGTAAAACTGTTGCTTTTGAAATAATTGTTAACTCAATTAAGTTACAATTGAGAATACTTTGATCAAAGTATAAGTGGACAACTTATAAACACCATACATAAATAAGTGTAAAGATCACATACTTTATGTGATGTTACACTTATTTATCTTTACACTTATTTACTTTACTAACAAAAGCCTTGTTAGTGTTTTTAAAATATATTATCATCATCTTATTATCATTTTAAAATAAAACCATTTAATTATTGATCACAATAGCCTGTTTAATTGGCTATTGTAAACAATAACTAAAAGATAAAGTAGTATACAATTTATATATTTCATTATCTAGACATGTTAATTATTAAATACAAAAATAAAGTAGTATACAATAAATTAATGTTAATAGTCAATAACAGTTATAACTTTTTTTATTAAAATACTTTAAAAACATAAACTTAATCATTAAGTTAATGTTTTTAAATTGTTTTAATAATGTTAAACCAATATTAATAGTATAAAAGATAAAATTGTTATTAACTAATAATATTTAATAACAATTGTATCTTTTATACTATCAATATTGTTTTATATTAATAATTTTGAATTATAAATTTCAAATTAATAAAAAATTGATAATAATTATTAATTTATTGTTTACTACTTTAACTTTGTAGCAATATTCCAAGTGTTAGCTTGTTGTTTATAATTAGATTTTTTATTTTTAATTCATTGTTAATTTTCTGTTTAAGTTTTCATTTTGCCATTTATGATGGTAGAGTTGAAAAAAGTAAACAAGAAATAACAAGGCAGAATTTACACTGTTTCTTATTGGAAACAAGATGGAACTGATATTGAACTGTCAAAAGATTAAAAACTCCAGCTAGTTGCTGTTGTTATATCAGGGAAGTTTAAATTTTTTTAATTGGAGTATGAAATTAATGTATAAATGCTCACAGTATAGCAAGTTTTGTAACCAGCAAAATAACTGCCCCAAGTTTTATGGCTTGCAAATAGGTTTTGCAAGTTTTGTGGCTTGAAAATAAGTACAACAAGTTTTTTGACTAGCAAATAAGTACCACAAGTTTTGTTGCTTGCAAATAAGGTACAGCAAGAATTGTGGCTTGCAAAGAGGTACCACACGTTTTGTGGCTTGCAAATATAGTACAACAAGTTTTGTAGCTTACAAATAGGTATTGGAAGTTTTGTGGCTTGCAAATATGTACTGCAAATTTTATGACTTGCAAAATAAGTATCGTAAGTTTTGTTACTTGCAAATAAGGTACAATAAGTTTTGTGGCTTGCAAGTAGGTACCGCAAGTTTTGTGGCTTGCAAATTGATAGTTGACTCTGGCTTACCTTTTCGTGGTGTCTATTGTTAAAAATTATTCATTTTGTTTCGTTAATGTAATTTAAAAATTAAATTATTTACTAGAAGCCCAGACAAGAAATAATTACATTTTTTATTTCAAAAAAATTGTTTTTTTTTGTGTGTTTTTTTCTCAGGTTGGAGCGGTTAATCTGTTCCTTTACATGATAATGTATACTCAGATGCATCTTGTAATGTGGTAAAATATTTTTTTATTCTAATTTCTTTTTCTTTAAAAAAAAAAGTTTAAAGACTTCTTTGTTAAATTGTAATTAAAATTTTTTTATTTGAATCCGACAGAGGGGGATGGCTTGCTCCTCTTTTTATAAAGACAAATTATACAGTTATACCTCTAGGTGTATAAATTGCCAATTATACCTCTAGGTGTATAAATTGCCTTTATGAAAGGAGGTGCATAAAGGCAATTTATACATACTATACTAAACTTTTTCATTTCAAAAGGCTTGTTGTTTTCGAGTATTTTTTTTATAGGTTGGAGTGTGTAATCGGTCTTTTTTCATGACAAAATGGTTACTCTAATGCATTTTGTAATGTGTTAAAATATTTTTTTATACTAATTTCTCTCTGTTTTTTAAAAAAGCATTTTAACATTTTTTTTGAGAAATTTTCATAAAAAAATTTTTTTCAGGTTCATGGCAGAGGGGGAGGGGCCTTATACGCCCTCTTCCATCAAAGCAATCTATACACCACTAGTTACTCTTTGTTATAGTGTTGAAATATATTTTTTTGTTTTTTATAATAGATTTAATCATTTTAGTAAAGATTGTAATAATTAAAAGAATGAAATTTTGAAAGGGTGTGTTAAACCTTCCCCAAAACCCAACACCCAACTTTAAGATAAACCTGTAATATTTGCTAGTGATGTGAAATAAATAAATAATAACTTGTATAAAAGTATAACTAATTTTATAAAGAAAACACTCTATTTTTAAAAAAAATTTGTATTTTTGTGAGGTGTAGGTGGCAGATTAGCACCCCCTCTGGATCCCTCCATGCGCCTTAGAAACTAGTTTGAAATTATAGCCCATTTTTACATCTATCTTTTGATACTAAGTTATAGATATTTTAATAAGAATTGTCAAAGTTATAATAATTTATGTAGGAAAAAAATTTTTTTTGACCACAGTTTTATCAAGAAATCCATATATTGAAAAATTGCTACTAAAAACGTTATATTTTTTTTATAGAATTGTCTAATTTTTATCATTTTTTTACCTTTAAAATACTGTATTTGAGGGCTTTCCAATAATATATAGCATTCTAATATTGGATCAATTTAAAAAAATCAGTCCACGTACCTATTAACATAAATTTTATTTCTCAAACATACTACAAACACTCTTATATGATATATTATATATACTTATAATTTATGAACCAATAATTTTTTATGAATATCTAATCTATAAACAAGATATTTAAATTAATTTACTTTCAAGAATATCACTCTAATTCTAATATTCTTTTCTTTCTATTTAAAATCAAATTGTGTGCTCTTGTTCATATATTAAATTGTTTATTTGTCTGAAATCACACACAAGTTACCCTACCTCTTGCAATCTGTAATTTCTTTACTTCTATAAAAAATTCTCAAAATTATCTTCCTCTTTTAGCAACCTTAAATTATATATTCTAAATCATTGTTTAGTTAAGTTGAGCATAACAAATCACATCACAAACCAATGCATAAAATCATGAAATAATTTATCATTTTTTATTCATAGAATAATTTATTTTTTATATTCACTTTATATCACTAAACTTTACTACTAAAACTCATCTCTATGTCTTTTTATTTTTTTAAATGTAATTACTGTTCTTAAAATGTTGAGCTCATTGTGAGTCATTATTATTGCTCTTGGTATGATTATAAGTAATATAAATATCAACATTATTTTACTTCTATTCATATCACTATTACTTATTGTAATTGTTTAATATTAAATTTAATATTTATCAATATTATTGTTACTATTGTTGTTATTATTATATTAATATAAATATAATTGTTAACATTAGTTACCTCGTTATAATTGTTTTAATATTGTTATTGCTATTATTATACAATTGGTTTTTACTTAAGATTAGTATTAGTACTATTTCTAAATATCCATGTTTATGTTGCATACATACACATATATGACATATATGTGTGTGTTTTCTTTTAAGAAATTGCAAGTTTCCAAATACATGCAAAGTAAAGTAAGTAAAGAAAACAATTCATTTCAATTAGTAAATTTAGTATTATTAATTAATTTTAATTTTTTACATTTTTTATCCTTATTTTTATAAAATGATCAATTAAAATGCACTAGAACTTTGTTCTGGTGCATTTAAATTGAACTAAGTATAGAATTTTAATTTATTACCTGGGTAAATAAATTTCCAATTGAGAGAGTTGATAGAGTTGCAGCATTTTTAGAGAAATATCAATGTGTCCCTAATGTGCTATTGGTAAAAAAAAAAATTTTATTTGTGATTTCATATATTTATTGGATAAAATGAAATAGTGTTTGAAAATCACAAATCCTTTTTTAAATGAGAAGGTATTTTTAAAACTGCTATGTCCTCTAATGGGTTATTCTATAAGTTTTCTCTGCTTTTTAAAGTTGTATGCTTTTTTTATTATTTTTATTTAATTCAGACTGTTGGCGACATGGCACATGTATTAAAGTTTTCTGTCACGGTTGACTCAGCAAGAATGAAGACATTGATACACTTTTGCATTATGGAATACACAAGTTGGCAGTTCCTCGCCCACTGCCACCCAAATACAGGTAGGTATGCATGCATACACAACCCTCAAAATTAGTAAAGCTAAAATGAGTTATAAATTGTCGACATTTTAAGATATGAAAAGATATTATTGTTAAATTTTGAGTTTATAAAATTTATTTTCAGATATAAGAAATTTTTATCTGTACGTTACAGACGATGCAGACGAAGTGATTATTATGTGTGGCAAAAAATTATTTTATAAAGTTTTTATCTTTCTGACTTCGTGATAGAACTTATTGGAGTACACTTTTTTTGGACATAGGAGGAGTATTGCCGCTGCAAGCATGAACAATAATCAAACATTCCAAAGAATAATTTGTTATTTTAACGATTAGATTTGTTGTTTAAATGTATAAATGCTTTTTGAATATTCTTATTATATATCATCCTAATTTCAAAATAATGTTTCATTTTTTCCATAGAAAAAGTACTTTTGTAATATTGTTTTATAGTTCAGGGGAAATATTATTGAAAAAAAAAAATAGAATCTTGTTTTAAATAAAAATAACATTAAAACAAGTAAAAAATGATTTTTTTTAGGGAATATAAAAAAATTCTTATATTAGGAATAAAATTCTTAAAATAAGAAAAAAAATTCTTATATTAAGAATAAAAATTCTTGTTTTAAGAATAAAAGTTCTTGAAACAAGAAAAAAAATTCTTGTTTTAAGAATAAAAATTCTTGAAACAAGAAAAAATATTCTTACGTGGCGGTAAGTCATTTTTTTCTTGTTTTAAGACTTTTTTTGCTTAAAACAAGAATCTTGGATTTTACTGTGTATTTTATTTATATATATATATATTATATATATATATATATATATATATATATATATATATATATATATATATATATATATATATATATATATATATATATATATATATATATATATATATATATATATATATATATATTTATGTATATTTTAACGCTTTAAAAAAAATGCCAAGAAGTAGTTCAAAGAAATTAAACAATAGGTAAATTTTATTAACTGTATAAACAAATGCTATGCAACTAGCATATTGGCAATTTTGATTTATCTTTTTTCTTTGCCTCTTTTTAAATGTTTTCAAGTTATTATTGGAAACCGAATCTTTTGATAGTTTTTGTTTGTTATTAAAAAATACATTAACAAAAATTTTTGTTGAAAACGTGATTCCCCAATTTTCATGGTTTTCACAAACAAATTTGCTTTTTGGTGCGTATTTATGTAACAGATATGTTTATGATTTAATGACTAGAATTGATAGAGATGAAATTTCATTCTCAATTAAATCCAAAATAGCAAATACACTGCAAACAAATTCTGCAAGCTGTTTGGATGAAACAAATAGTTCATCACGTGACAAGAGAGATAAATAAGAATTATTTTCAAGATCAATATCTCCACCTTTCAAACATGTTTTGCAATTTTCACATTTAAACCTTTTTTACAATTTTTTTTTGCAACATAGCCTGCTATAGTTATTGCCACTTCTTGACTATAATAATCAAGGGAAATTTCCATAATTTTTTCTATTCGATTTTCATACAGTCCATCAAGTATTGTCAAGAAAGGAGGAATATCTGGTATTAGATTTTCTTCCCAGAAGTATATATCGTCCTTAATTAAAGAACGACATGACAAAACTCTTTCTGAATTTAAAACTTCTCTTAAACTTACAAGAAATCTTCCCCCACTCATTTACCTGTATTGTGAGAAACATCTCTCAATTGGATCACTTCGTAAACGAGCTGTCATTACGTAATCATATCCATCATTCAGGAGCTCCTCAACAAGCAGTGCTTGAGCACGTAAGGTATTTACAAATGCTGATGCAGTTTGAGTTGTGCAAACTGCAATCAGCCAGAGCTTGGTAAAAAATTATTTTATTGACTCCTAATACAATAGCATTGCCTATAATATTTGGTGAAAACCTTTGTATAGAATTAGCAATAGTCCACCAAGTGTTAAAAATATTTAAAAAACTTGAAACATCTTTTCGATTTGAATAGTATCTTTTTGAGGCTGCAATTTTAGTTTCATGTATAATTGCTAACGCAAGTGGCACACTTTGTTTATTATTTTCAAGATGTAATGCCTCATATGTAAGTTTCGGAGCTTTTTTAAGTTTACTTTTCAGATCATTATCATTATGGTAAATCTTAAATAAATCATCCCAACTAATATATCCTAATGGACAATCAATATTAATATATACATTATGGTATTTAAAGTCTGGAAAAACAATTTTTTTTACCATTTAATAAATTAATTCTAAGATTTTTGACTAAATGCACACTATCATAAAACAAATATGTCTTCTTTCCATGATTCTGTGGGTGAATAATAAAGTACTTCAATTCAGACTTGAACATTGTAACTAATGATGAGAATGCATTAATGTTAGTGGAATGATTGTTTGTAACTACACCACACACAGTAAACCCAGCATCTGATAGATTTTTAAGATTGCCAGCTATTTTTTGCGATAGCCAATTTCCAGAGAATGTGACTTCTGGAATTGCTTGAACAATAAAAAGAATAGATTCTTTTAGTCCTATTTTTTTTTTTTTTTTTAGTTATTCACCTCCTCAAGGCCAAGGAGGCCACTACAGACAAGGAGGCTACTTAATAATGGTTATAATCCTTTCTCAACTCTATAACTCCGAAACACGAACCTTGACGAACAAGGTCGCTGCGCGGAGAAACAAGTTAAGCGCGGTACTACCAGGGACGTGGTGGGGATCGAACTCGGAACCTCTCGCTTATGAAGCGAGTGCTTTACAACTACACCACTACTGCATTTATTATCATGAATGCGATAATTCCTTTGTACAAGTTACCTTCTTCGTCAGCACCAACATACTCTCCTCCTTGATATTGTGCTGCTTTTTGTAAATACATTTCATTTATAATCATAATGCAATCAGGAGAAATTTTTCCTTTTTCACGTAGAAGTTTTAAAGCTTTTATAGAATTGATACCTCCTTGTTGAACTTTATTTAACAAAGATATTGATAGTAAAGGTAGCTTTTTTAGTTGTATTTTGCCTGTAAAGATGTATTTTTTTGAAGCTTTTTATTAGTATTCTGTGGCATGACCTTTATTTATAATAACCGCAAAGCATCTTCGTTGTATGGAATTAATAAAATTCTGACATCGTTCGAAAGATATATTTTGCCATGCTGACTGTACTACGTCCCACAATTGATTACAACATCTTGGATTATTTTTAGAAACTGCTTGTTTAACATCAATTCACAAGTTTTCAGTCGGGTTGAAGTCGGGGGATTGTGCTGCCCACTCCATCATATTGATTTTGTTCTCATTAAACTACGATTTCGCTAACTTGCTCGTATGTTTGGGATTATTATCCTTCTGAAACAAAAATTTTAACGGTATTTCTTCTTCAGCATAAGGCAGCACGATCTCTTCAAGAATTTTAACATACACAAACCGATCCATGATACCTTCTATGCGATGTATCGGCCCAAGACCATAGTAAGAAAAACAACCCCATATCATTATTTTTTGAACCTCTATGACGGTCTTTAATGTAAATGTGTAACTTTAATGTAAAAAAACTATCAGAAAGCCTGATGTCACTCTCTAAATTAAAGAAAAGGAAATTGTAGACTTAGGAAATTGTTATTCATTTTAAAATACTTATTTCAATTAATGCATAATTTTTGTCTTGATAGTATTTGTAAAGATTTTTATTAAATGGTAAATTTCTTGTTTAGTTCAAAATAGTTTGTTTTTTTAGTTGATTTAAGCGGGAATATTTACTTCTGTCCATCTGAATGAACTTTAAGTATGAAAATAAATAAGTTGCTGATTTCATAACCACTTGCATAAATTAAACTTTTCATTTTTTGATTTCTTAAATATCGTTTTAACCAAGAATATGTAAAAAACATGATGACATACCCTTTTAAAACGAAATTATAGATATCAAATAACAAAAAAAAAAAAATATGGAAATAATTTTTTCTTTAAATCCCCCTCAAACACCCTGAACACACTCTATTTTTCCTTTTTTGAAGTACAATTTCTTAACAACTTTGGTCTTGAGGGGGACTTAAAAGTCACCCGATTAACCTAATAAAAATTTTGACAAAGTTTTAGCATATTTGCTCCAACTTTAGCTGGCTATGTAATTCGATTTCAAAAATTCCCTCAAAATGAGTACTCCTAACAATATATATATATATATATATATATATATATATATATATATATATATATATATATATATATATATATATATATATATATATATATATATATATATATATATATATATATATATATATATATATATATATATATATTTAGATATATATATATATATATATATATATATATATATATATATATATATATATATATATATATATATATATATATATATACATATATATATGTATATATATATATATATATATATATATATAAATATACAGATATATATATATATATATATATATATATATATATTTATATATATATATATATATATATATATATATATATATATATATATATATATATATATATATATATATATATATCTGAGGGCTAATATATATATATATATATTAGCCCTCAGAATTAGGCCAGCCTAAAAGTATCTGAGGTTGGTAATTTTTGACGAGCTTGATTTTGTGAAAAAAGACTTTAGGTCAAAACTAGGTGTTGAACTGATGCTGACCTAACGGTCGGCAATTTATAGACGACTTTAGTTTTCCTAATATATATATATATATATATATATATATATATATATATATATATATATATATATATATATATATATATATATATATACATATACAAGGCCGGCGCGATAGGGGTGTGTGGGGGTGTGTGAAACCCCCCCCCCCCCTTCATCAATGATATTTAGTCGGCAAACTGGACCATTAGTCGGCAAATTGGACCCTTAGTCGGCAAATTGGACCTAGTTAGTCGGCTAATGTAGACCTCCTTTCGATATAGGTTAGACAGTCGGCAAA